ATAGACCTTAGCATTGGGAGAGGGGCAGGTGGATAGCTTTTGTATTTGGTTTGAGGGACAAGAACAGTCTTGGATCTGTGTTTGTATGGTATTGAGAGCAACGGGTCCTGATCCTGGAGCTCAGAGCAGAGCTTTGTATGGGGTGAAATAGTGGCACAGAAACCTTTACACTAGGGAGGGAGTCCCCTGGCCTCCAACTTCACTAGCTCGAAAGTCCATATGTACAATGATTCAAAGCCCTAAACTCACCCATTGCCATTCGAGTGTAGCCAGTATTGCAGCCCCATAGTCTACCTGCAATGCTGTCTCGACCTACCCTAACCTTGTTTTCTTCACTGCATATACTCACCTACTCCATCTCTACGTGAAGGGTGAATCTTTACCCTGAAGCACCCGAGTTTTGCATTGAATTTTTGGTCAAGACTCTGCTGGGATCACAGGTGTTATATAATTTTCACTCCTTTGTGGGTGGAGGTGGAGGTTAAAACATCCTGTTGATTTATAAAGAATACAGCATGTATTTTCCCAGCTGTCGCCTGCTGTATGTTGGAAGGCAGTGAGGTATTCATTAAATTGTTGGTTTAGAGAGAATAAATTGGACCTGACCATTGACTTGTTTTGATGCAACTTTCACGTGCCATGGTTCAACATATTTTATTTAAATTGAGCTAAACTGAGGGAAAAAATGATAGCTCATAAAGAGAATTCTCCGCAGCTTGTTCTAAGTTTATTAGAACAGGCTTGAAGTAAAGTTACGTATTGGAGCATAGCGGCTAACTTGCAAACAGGGGAGGAATTGGCTAGTAAGCGATAGTGGTCAATAGTCATTGTTTCCAAAATTTGGCAAATCATGTCCTGTTGTTATTTTGCAAGCTTTGCTAGACTCCTGTGTTGGCAAAGGCATTGGGAAGCCGTTATTCCAGCCCATCCCTTTCTAGCTTCATCCTGGTAACAGAGCTGGTGGGGAATTGGCTGACTGCTCTCTTATATTTTTTTTTTTGTCAACTTGAACATCTTATGCGGGAAACTTCTAGTTCTCTCTGCATGAGCCCCGGCCAGACCATCTGAAGTAGGGTCCTTCGTTCCCCTTCTTTAAAGACTTGAGTCAGATTTAAAGGGGCATTGCCAATTAGATTGATTCTGCATATTGACCAATGTATTGAATCCCTTTTCTGCCATGACCATATATAGCCGTATATATATTTCTATAGCATATCTTTCTATAGCACGTTTTGACTTTTTAAAACTATAATGCATTTTCCTGTTCCCTTGCTGATGTTTAGAAGGAAGTTTGGGAACAGGGGATTTGGGATAGCCAAATAAAAAAAATCAAGGCAAATATGCTGGGGCCTTCTTGTCTCGATAGGAATTTGTCTGTACCTGCTGGCCCCTGCTGCTGGTGGCAGATGTCCTTGTGCTTAGCCTGGGTGGTGGCATGCATGTGGACTCCCTTAGTTCAGTTTCTGACCGTGATGCGACTGCTTGTTAAGAATAGCAAGGCCGACTCTACACACGGCGCTGACAAACGTGCAAAGTGACACGCGCACGCAACCCAGAGAAACGCACCTTGCCTATGTAGTCGTAGCACAGTACCTCGAAGGTGGCTTGTAACTGTAGATACAAAATGTTCAGGTTATCAAGCGGCCGACGTCTCTTTTTATATAATGCAATAATAATTTTGTTGTTTGATCAGAAGGGTATTCTGTAATTCTGAATATTTGCCTTTAGTTTGATAATCTTATAGCCTGACTTCTTGTCCTGGTTGCTAGCTGATGATTAGAGAGAATCATAGAAAAGTAGGGCTGGAAGGGACCTCGGTAGGTCATTTAGTCCAACCCTGATCAAGGCAGGATCATCCCTATCTAAATCATCCTATCCAAGTGTATGTCCAACCTTCAGAAAATTGCACAAACAATCCTTTTGCACAGCTACCAGGCACAATGTCCCCAAATATCCCCTAATTTGCCACAGATAAAGCAGGAGGACAAAGGCATTGCCCACGTTTGGCTACTGCAAGGACAGAGTAATTTTGTTAAAATACATTTGAGAGATCGTCATCAGAGAAATAAAGATTTTTGTTTTAAATATCATTCAATTGTCAGTTTAGACACACTATTTATGTTTTGGGGGCTGTATTTGCAGAATCTTGTATTTAAAAAAAAATTCATGAATGCATGTATTTTTTTTTTTCTCCATTTGAATGTCAAGAGTGCCTGCTTCAAATCCAAAGAAATCTTTGTAACACATAGAGCCCAAAGATGAAGAAGACAATAGTCAGAAGTTGTGAAAAATTAAATGAAACTACTGCATTTCCACCATGTATTGTCCAGGCTGAATAATTAAATCCATTCGGATTATCTGAACTCACCTGACATTTAAAAAAATGTTTTCAGTTTGCTTCATCTTAACTGGTGCTAGTAACCCAGGGAGCAACCTAGCAGGATATGTTCAGTGTTTGCTTGAGATTCTTTTGTCTGCATGCAGCTGCGGTGGGAAAGCTAGCACTGCTGATATGGTTAAAAGTCACAGCATAAATATCCTGGCTTGGTGAAACGTCTGTGACCCCTCGCAGTTGTGTTGTTTGTCGGAAAGAAGATAGGTAATAAAGAGTCTCCTGTGTGAGAGGAGTAGGGGGAACCTGCTGTTTTAATTTTGTTCACAGCAGTGAGCCAAACTTTGTTCTTTCAGCGCTGGCCTTTATAATTGGCTCGATTATTATATAGGAATTCAATCCATTGCATATCTTTGGCTTTATAGCTGTTAATGTAATAGCCAGGAAGGGTGCAAAGTCTCTTGCAGGAACGTACAGTAAATAAGACTAATAAAATGATCCAAAGAACTTGGTCAGGTTTTTTAAGGGGTGGGCTTGGTGTGTAAGGGAGGGGACATGTACCCTAGCTCCATTTTAGGTTGCATGGCCAAATGGGTTTTGCTGGTTTAAGGTCAATAACTTGTGCGGCCAAAGGTGAAAGTCATTTCATATATGGAGGCCAAGCAATTTGGTGTTACATAGGTAAAAGACACCTGGACTCAATGGGCATGAAAATCCCTTGCATGCTTGGGGCCAGAGCACTGGGCTGGGGTGCAGCTCCAATGCCTAATGCAGTACTTCCATGCTCGGGCCTCCTGTGCTGCTTGCAAAGACTAGTAGGGTCACAGGATCCACAGAACTGGGGCTAGCAGCTCCTTGTCTTCCCTGAGCAGTGTCGCTGTCCAGGCCAGGATCTATGAGGATGGCACAGACCATGGCAGATGCTGTCCTGACTTCGAGGTGCCATTCCCCTTGCAGTGCAGACAGCTCACGTTTAGACTTTCATGCATGCTGCACGTGCAGGTGACTTGAGTATCTCTAAATTGCTGAGTGCTAACTAGAGGCTACCGTTTGAAACGTGAGCCTGGGGCTTCTGGATTCATCGGTGATCAGAAGATGTACAGAAAAGCAGAAGAACCAGCAGTAATTGCTTCCTTAACCGGGGTGCAGCGCCAAGGGGACCTTCCTTGGGCTTTGCAGACATTGACATGCTGACAAATGAAAACGGCTTCTCTGGGAGCTTTTTAAGTGTGCTGCACTGTGCCTTTAAGAGCCAATGCCAAACAAGGACAGTACTGATGTGCCGCTAAAGCCCGTGTTCATCTGTCTGCAAGTCCCAATGATGCCTCGTTAATCTGCAGTCCTCAGGGGCCTCCTTCTGTTAAACTATGTTCTGTTTCCCACGTGGATATAGGTTTGTTCGTGGTCTTTACCGAGCTTTTAACACCTGTTCAGCCTGCTTTCTCCTCCTCCCTCCGCGCCCCCCCCCCCCCCCTTTTCCGTTTTTGAGACAAGCTTAATTATTCCTGGGTTTCCCTTGGAGTGGGTCCTCCAGTCAGTTCCCTAATTGTAGAAATCCCTGCGGGATCCACCAGATGGGCGGGGGGTAGAGGATAATCTTCTCCGAGCTCCAGAAGAAATGCGATGCCAAATTACAGAAAATAGATCCTTTTTTATTAAATGCTTGACTCCTTTGCCCTTATTTTAAGGTAACCATGTAGTGAAAGGCTGCATTGCGAATTTCAGTCCATCTGTATTTTATTTAATTATCCTTAACAACCTCGCTTGTGTTACTAACACCGAAGATTGTAAGCCCTGAAAGATTTTTTTAAAACATAGATTGGGGGGAAAATAGGCTAGCCTTTTCTTTTGTTTCTAACCAGTTTCATTTCTCAGCAGGAGCTTGATGCTGCGTAGATGGGTATAAAAACAAGGGTCCGCATTTTCAGGGCCTATCTAGTGATACAAGTGAGCGCCCTTTTTCGAGGGCACAGATGGCCGACCATAAGCGAGTGTGCGGTGTTGCTGGCATCTCTGATTGTCAGCGGTGCTGGAGGTGAGGTGGAGAGTCAGCCTTGAGCGCCCGTGATGCTTCGAAGCATCTTGAGAGAGGGTATCGCTTGCATGGAGGGCAGAAAAAATGCTTTCCTTGTGTCCCTACATAAGTACATCCTGCCTTCATGGGTCCAAATGCCGAGTTATATTTTGGGTCCTGACAGCACGTGGGACAAATCTAGCTAGCCACCCACTGTCTGGCTTGTCTGGGCTTGTCTTTCAGAGCAGCTCCCCGCTAAAAATCTCCAAGTATTTTATGCATGTTAATTAAGTCTCAGAATACCCCTGTGTGAGAGGTGATATCAATAGAAGGGCAGACTGAAGCACAGCAGAGGTAAATAGCTTCTCTAGGGCTCCTGACTCTTCATCTGTTCTTCACACCATTTCCTTCCTTTCTGGCTTGCAAACATTTCCCGCCCCCCTTCAATCTGGGGGGCAAATTTCTTGCAAATCTGAGCGAAAGCCCTAGGCTTCCGGATAGTGGTGCGAGAGAGGGGGCAGCGTGGCGGCTGTGCACACCGGTGGCTGCCGGCGTGCTGGGATGCACTGCGGGGAGTGTTTGCAGCTCGCAGCAATTGGACTGTCGTGCAGCGAGGTCAAAGGAGGCTAATCCAAATTTTTGTTTCTCTTCCAGGTCTACGCACAATGAACTAGAAAAGAACCGGTAAGTAGCTCGTGAACTGAATTCTAAGAACTACCCGCCCTGTCCATGCAATATGCTTTCACGCTGCCCGTGTCAGCATCGTTTGAGCAGCTTGGACAGCTGTAAAAATTGCCACGCCGCGCCAGGTAGGTTTAAACTCTGGGTGAAGGCCCAAAAGGGTCTGAAAAAAGTCCCCCTTTCCTCTCCCCCACCCCCCCAAAAGCAAGAAGTGACCCAGTTTCGGGACTAATCTGCATGCAGAGTATATGCTTTTCCTTTTCTCCTGACACGCTGCAGTGTGATTGGGTCGCTCGCCGTACATGGGGTTGCTAACGTATCGGGTTTCTCGGGGCCCGGTTAATACGTGTTACCATGAACTGAAGAGCGGCGCTTTGCTTTTCTAGTCCCTTTGGCAGGACTGTCCTGTTCTCTGTGGCGTGGAGGAAAACGCCATTGTCCGGAGGACCTGGAGTCTGGCTAGCAAAGTGCCCGTGGAGCGCCTTGCTCGTAACCTGGTTTAGGACAGAGCCTGTTTATCCTTGAGCAGAGTTTTAGCAAGCCTTGCACTTTTGCGACTTGGCTAGCACTGCTCTATGACTCAACCCTTTTGTAACAGGAGTTAAAGTAAGATAAATACCATTGAGACGATGGGAGTTAGTTCACACGCAGATCAGATTATGGCGTGCTATAGTTAAGGTTGGGTCAGAGTTTCCATTATGAATTTATCTTGGGGTTTCTTTGTCAGTTGGAGCAGTGTGAACCTCCCAGGCTGACTGTTCCTGCCCCATTGAAAACCCCACTGTGCGTAGGGAAGAGGTGAGGTGGGGTGGAGAAACTTGCACTGAATATGCTACTGGGGTCTTACTGCCACAGGCCTCCCCGTCAGTTAATAGGGGATGGCAGCATTGCAGGGGTGAGGCATAGCTGGTTCATGGGGAACTAACCCAAGCATGAGTCCTTGATCAGACTACCAGAGCATCTCCCATGCAGGTTCTCAAGGCTGTGGCACGATGCACGTTGCCCTTGCTTTCCTCACGCTCTTGCAGTCTCTTGGGGGTGACAAGGAGACAAAATTGCTACACCTTGAGGTTTGAACTTTTTGATGCATGGGGAGACTTCTCCACTGTCCAGCCCCTTCTCCTGGAAGATTTGAGGAACTATATTTGCAAAATAGTCGCATGCAGGTTCTTGGCAGCTCAGGGGAAGGATGTGGATTTGTCTGGCTTCTTCACTCGCCCGTGATTCTTGATGTTTCCATCATTTCTCCGCTCCCAGACTCTTCTCTGTACTGTGTAAGGGGGGCAGGTACGCAGGGTGTGCTCTCTGATGGTTTTTGCTGCATGTTTTGCAAAGTAAAAACAAAAAAGGAAGCCGCTGATTGTGAGCCTGAATGAAAAGTGCTTTGCCCGTGGGTAAGCCTGCCTGAATTCTCACTTGACGGTTATCACCACACCCTGCTCCCGCCTGTTTTCAGAGCAGAGATTGCCTTCTCCTTCCTGTCTGACTTGCTGCTTTGCAGACATGCCTAACCCACTGCTGATTCACTTCCCAGTTGTAGCTTTGAATCGGTGAGGTCCAACTGAGTTGTTTTTATTCTTGTCGTTCAAACCAAACTATTATTCTAACCTGAAAACGGCAGGTGGATGAGAACGGTCGTTCTGGCTGCTGCTTCGCTGCATGGCTTGCTTTGCTCCGGTTCAGTTACTGTAGTTACTTCCTGGAAGTGACTGGGCAAACTAAGGCTGAAGGGTGCAGAGAGATGCCTGAGATCCTTCCTGGCATGAACAAGTTGCACTAGTACTGAGACCGCCTCATTTCTCATCTTTTGCTCTCTGGTGCGTCTTTTCTCATACTGTCTGGGATTATTTCTGTAAAGGAAATTGTCTTGAGGCCATGTTCCTGGTACATGTACTGTTGCTGTCAACTGGGCCTTCCCTCATCCGTCATACTCGTGGCCTAGGCCAGTGGAGCTCCCATCTTTATGTGGCTCTGACATCAGCAGTTGTAGTCGGGACATCTGTCAGGCTGGATAAGGCAGAGGACAGCTACACACGGGAGCACGGGGCTTGGGCACGCCTCGCCTTGGGCCCTGATTTTGACAGGGACTCTCCATGACTTCGGGTGAACAGCTTCATTTCTTTGCTTAAGTTTCCCTGTCTTTTAACTGAGGGTCACGGTATTTGTCCACATGCTGGAGTGGCCATTCGGACAGCACTTGGAGTGCTGTTATGTGCTTCACAACCCTCTGCTCTTGCCCTTATTGTTTGGGGGGAAAAAACCCTTGTCTTGGATTTGAGTAAATCCATTGTTACCTAGTGAAACCATAGGTGGAATATAGTCGTGGCCAAGACCAAGCAAACACGCTTCGAGAACCCTCTACTCTAAGCAAAGGCAATGTGCAACCTAAGTTGTCACAAGAGGAGTGAAAATGCATGCATGTCGGCGGAGGGCCCTTTTGTTTCCCATTCGGATGTTGTTTTTATTAATGGCGTGCACATGGAAGCAGCTAAAAATATGGACAAAAGGCAGAGTCTGTAGTTGTTTCTCATAATTTATTTCCGGCAATTGGGTGGTGAGCTCCATGCTGCTTGCAGCCTCCCGTGTTGTAGAGGGATGGGGATCGCTTCACGTTTCGACTTCCATCATGTTCTGTCTGTAGTGTCTTTAAGTTTGTCTCCAGCTCCAGCGTTAGACAAAGATAAAAGCCCTGATACTAATGGCTTTGTTGCTGGCAGTTGCTCATTTTTTCCTATTATTTGAGATTATTCCTTTTGAGTTTCACTGTTATCTCCATTATTGACACACCCTATAATTTTCAAAATTGTCCACTATTAGGTCCCTGACTCAGTGGTTTTTTTTCTGTCTGCTAGCAGCAGACTGTCTAGTATGCAGTGAAATTTCATTTTAACCCATTCAGCAATTAAACAGAGCTGCTTTCAAGTACAGGCAGGCATACAGAGTGGGGAAAAAAGAAAGCCACCTTCTTCTTGGACTCGTACTCTGACTCAAGTTTTTGCAGAGCAGAGAAAATGCATCTGAATTAGACTTGTTCTTCTTTGCCGTCTGAAAGCAGTTGCTTGTTGAAAGAACAAAAAAGTTGTGCTCAAAATTATACATTTTTTGTATCCTGAACGGACAATGGGTCCATAAATAGTGTAGCGATTCTGATAGGAAAATTGTGGATTGGGTGCCCAAATACTGTAGTGCTCAGGTATTTCTCCTTCCCTGATGTTCTCTGTGGTTTGGCTGATTGAAGAGAATGCCCTGACACCTTTTATTATAGGCTTTGTTTGTTTGATTAAAGTTAGTTTGTATTTATTAACTGCCCTTTAATCTTTATGGTGGAAAATCCTAATTTTTATTTATAGTTTCATAGTTTCTAGGGTCGGAAGGGACCTGAACAGATCATCAAGTCCGACCCCCCTGCCCTGGGCAGGAATGAGTACTGGGATCATAGTACCCCAGCCAGACATCTATCCAACCTGCTGTTGAAGACCCCCAAGGTAGGGGAGAGCACCACCTCCCTTGGGAGCCCATTCCAGAGCCTGGCAGCCTTAACTGTAAGGTGATGCCTCCTATATTTAATGAGATTATAGTTAGCTATATCTTAAAAATAAACCAAAAAAACAATAACTGCTTCTATGCTGCAGCAAGATGCAACTAATGCAACAATGCCTCTTACCCACTGGTTATTCAGTGGGAAAGTTTAAAACTGCAGGAGAGCCTGCAGTAATGGTTTTCTTACTCTGTAGTGACTCCAGGCTTCTGTAATATTTTGGTGGCTAGAAGACTTCATGTATATTGGACTGTGATTATAAATTCTGTTTAGCTTTTAACCTTTAGGAAACCAACTTTAATTTGGTGGGAATTTGTATATTGGTTTTTATAGCACAGGATTCATTTTAAGAAAAAGTGGTGTTAGCTGGCAGACAAGAAACCACTAGTACGTAACAACCAAATTCTGAAGTCCAGATGCGTGAAGCCCTTGTTCAGGAAGACACTGAAAAATGGCTTTGACAAACATTTTTGCTTCTGTGGGACGAGTATGTATTGAAGTGCTTTCTCTTAGAGATGTTTTCCTGAATTAGAAGTGAAGTAGAAGGATCAGGAGTTGCCGCACAGTCTGTTGAATAGTGAAGGACAGGTTAAAGTAGCTCACGTATTTGCAAGAATCTGGGTAGCAGAGGCACAGAGAATGGGAATGAGGAGATCTGCCTGTGAGAGGCAAGGGGATGCTGTCCAAACATGCACACCCCGTAAATCATAACACCTTAGTGATATGCTTAGAAATGCTTTTTAATTCCTCTATTTTCTCTCATAAACGTTGGCTCCTGAGAAAAGGTGGCCCATTGACAGAAAAGAAACCACTTGTAAAGCTGATTTACAAAGCTGAGCTTTGAAGTTTTATTAGGACAACATTTTCTGAAAGCAGGTTTGCTGCTTCTCAGAATTGAATGTAAACTAGATTTATTCAGAAGAAAGTCCAAGGTTATAAAGCAGCAGTTCTACTTAACAATTTAGTTTCTAGTGTTGCTGGAAGGATGTGGTCACTGTGGCATGACAAAAACCCATGCATGGCACTGAGATGACTTCCTTGCCTTTCAGTAAAGTGGCAATTTTGGTAGACCAATATGGTAATAATGTTGTTGCTATCCATTAATAGATGGAGTAAAGCTCACTAGGTTTTATGATGTAGCTGATCTGTTTTTTAGGGACAAATATCATTTTATCAGCTTCATATTTTCATACCCTGTGATTGACGTTTGGGTTTTAGTGATGGGCATGGGCACGGACCATAGGTGCTTCCAAGTCTTCCAGTTCACTGTAAAGCACTTGGAAGAGAATTGGTAGCAGTCATTGCTGGCAGGATTATGAGCAGTTGGCCGTGCTCAGAGGTGACTAGGCAAGAAGCAGGCTTTTTCTGGTATCTGAAGGAGACCCCAAAGCTTTTCTTACAGCCTTGCTCATTTCTCTGCATCTCCCAAGTTCTCCTTTCTCTTATGTCTCTTGGCTGGAGAGCT